AAAATAATAATAAATACGTAACCATTTCAAAAACATGGTAAATTTAACGTTTACCCATCAATTATGACCCCAATAGGAATTAAATGATCCTGCGTTTCCCCACCCACAAAAAAATCCCCTTTCGGCTGTTCGCATTCCAAGGCTGATTGGATGAAGTCATCACCAGAACGCTGACATGGACCGTGTACATTGTGCACAGTACATGCAGTATTACACACTTCAACAGACCACGTTGTGTTTGATGTTGCTTGGCCAACAGGGCAAACACTGTCTCAGTTAAAAAAAATACAAGGTAGGACTGTGTCTTTTAATTTCTACCTTGAACTGAGGTCACTATTAATGGAGAATACATTAAATTTATGATGTTTTTGAAATGGTTACATATTTATTGTTATTTTAAAATACTTCACATGAACTAAATGTTTTCTGTTTCTGTTACCCTTTAATAAGAAGTGCTGCTTAATGTGGAATGATGTTATGTTTCACTGAGCTGTTGGAAAAGAAATTCTTTTCAAGAAATATCTCTGGTGACCAATTTACAAGCAGTGTACATGCATGTACTTCAACCAGGTAATCTCAATGCTGTTTCCACTTTGTCCTCTTAGATGTCCTGCACATTTATGTCACAATGGTGCAGATACACATTAATGAACTCCATGGAACACAATCGTTTGGTATATATGAATTTTGCGGGCTGGTCTTAAATACAGCTTACAGGAAAGTCACTGGTGTTCTTGGAGAGTTAAAAAAACATGTGACAGACACTGTAACAGCCCAGTGTTTTTTCTTCGCTTATAGACAAAAAATGAGTGGAATATACCTGATGCCATACTCTCATGAAATGTTACACACACACACGGGGGTGAGCCCCATGGTAAAGCTGTCCAGATTGTTCATACAGTGCCATTCACTGTACATACATGTACCAAGGTCCCCAGGCCACATGGAAATGTTTTGGTCCTGTTCCAAGCAAAAGAATTAAAAGCTGAATCCTTCAATGACCTTGCTTTCATTTCCAGGGTCCTGAGGGTCCAAGGGGATTTGCAGGTGATCCTGGTCCAGTTGGACCAAAGGTAAGTCCAGATGTTTGTAGTCAGGATTTCCTTTCATAATAAATCATAATTATGATTGATAAATTTATGTAACGCAAATTCTAAAAAAAAAAATACTCTACACTGAACTTATTTGAGAGTCAATGGGTGAAGTGATAGAATTAAAAATTTACATGCAAAGAGTGTATGCTTTTTCATAAGTTATATTTGTTCCCTTAATACTGCAAAGAGACTTACTGTAAGTTTTGGAATATAGGCCACTCGAAGTATAAGCCACACCAAGCAAAAATCTGCAAATTGAAATTTTAAGTGGCGTTTAAGCTGTACCAGTGTATAAGCCACACCACAATGCTGACAGTGTCCAACTATATACATCTAAGTCATCACACATGTTGCATGCTGAAGCATTACATCTACGTGGCGCACTTCAACATTCACTTGACTTACTTCATATAATGCTACCAAACCTCTGTGTTGAAACATTTGAAATCCATTTTTTTTAGGCTCAAACTATTTCCTTCATGATACAGGCCTCTGAACCTTTGTGAGCAATTTCAGTGCTACAGAATTTTGTCTGAAATTCTAACACATCAGCATCCAGAAATTGAATTCATGAATTCAGCTTAGTGATCCCTGACCTGTCTCCCTTGAAAGAATTTCAGAAAAATCTCATAAAACATTTCAGAAGGTTTTGAACATTGATAAATTCTATTAAATTATTATTACCTTCACTCACATGCCCAACTAAAAAAATTGTTAACAAATTATTTGGTTTGGGGGCACATATCAAAAGAGTTCATTTTGCACTTTGGAAAAAATTGAAAAATCAGGCCAAAATTAAATTTCATTAGAACTTTGTAGCAGGTATCAGAATTCGACATTTATGAATCGGAATATTTGAAGTTTGATTAAATTTCACCTTTGGTGAAATTGGAGGTAAAATATTGCTCCAATAATACACAAATGTTAGAGGCAACAACTCAAAGTGCCCAACGATAGAGTCCACTTTCAAGTATGCAGTCTTCAAGTGTAAGCAGCTTGTGAGCAAATGTTGCTGTTAAACCTAAACTTTCCCAAGACCTCAAAACTTCCCATTTTGGGGAAGTTTTAGTATTATTAGTATTTCACTCTAGATGAAGTCTTGAAGGTTTGCATGGTGAAGAGGTATAATAGAAAGTAGGTTTGCAGTAGCACCATGTATCTCTTTCGTGAGTATTTGCGGTTCTGAAAAGAACCAGAGGTACTCGACGTTTCGAGCAGTATGCTCTGCTCGTCATCAGGAGAATGCCAGATACTGACTGGGAGTGGAGCTTAAGTAGTCTAGTGGAGGATTCTGGAGATAAGGATTAGTCCGATGATGCGTGAAGGCGGGAACTCTGGAGAAGGGATTAGGCTGGCTCAGTGATGCGTGGCGGTAAACTTACTCAGGTGTGGCAGTACTGATGGGGGTGTGGATGGGTAAACTTGGGTGCCAAGGGTATAGAGGACCCATAGGCAGACTAAAGGAAGAACTGGGGCAGGGTGCCAAGGGTACAGATGACCCATAAGGGGAACTAAGAAGGGTTGAGGATGGGGCACCAGATGTCACTGATGATGTGTCTTGCAGAACTGTTCTGTTCGTGTGAATCTCGATTGCCTCATGAACATGGCGTGGATGCCATTGTTCTATGTTGGCAATGAGATGGGCTTGTTGCCAGTGGACTTGGTGGTCTTCAGTGCTGGAGTGTTTGATGATGGCAGATTTCTCGAGATCCCCCCATCGTCCATGGGCTCGGTGTTCATTGAGTCTGGTAGTGAGATCTCTACCAATTTCGCCGATATACACCTTGGTGTATTCGCAGGGGATCCTGTAGACGCCTGGCTTGGTCTTGGGGTCTTGCTTGTCCTTGTGAGACTGGAGAGCT